ACCAATTCACAAAATCATCTACAACCCAGTGAACTGGGTCATTATACAGTCTAAAGTAGACTTGGTGCTACTTTCTCTAAACTTTAAGGCAAAGTTCAGTCATGGGTTTAGTTTCCTGCACTGTAAATATGTGAAAGCTATTATTCAATTAGAAAAGAAATGTATTCATAGAGCTGAATGAGCGTAACGCACCTGTACGGTGAGGAAGGTGCAGATTCTTAACAGCAGCTCCCTCCTTCCTCCAGCCGGTCGGCCTCTCCCTTACAGCGGTGACTTTTTCCTGAGCTCCTGACAGAACAGGGTAACTTCTCTCAAACCACACCTGGTGAAGGAAGAAGTACGTACTGCAGGCCCCTAAAATGAAGCCCAGCGAAAAGCCCAATCTGGAGCTGAAGCCTTTCATGGCGATAATGTCTCCACAGTTGCCAGGTCCAAGTTATTGCATGTCTACATGAAACAGCACCACACTCGGTCAATTTGATGCACAGCCAAACCACAAAGGCCAACAAATATCAGTCATTAAACGTCCCTAAGGTGCTTGATAGCAGACTGACAGCATGTAGTTGTACAATTAATTTTGCTATTATTGTTTTCTTTTTTTAAATTGCAATAATTTTAATATTATAATACTTTGCCTCATTTTAGTCTTTAAAAATGTAATTAAAAAACTATTTCAATGTTTATGAAGTCATAGCGCGCTGACACTGCAGTAGACATGCGTTTAATGTATAATGTGCACAAATGATGACATAGTGATTAACTTCGCTGCTCGTGCCTAGAGAAGCCGTTTGATTTATTATGGTGACGTCACGTCAAGACCTCCTCCTTTTGTTTAGTTTAAAGACGGGATGATTCAAACTAATATTAGCAACACTTAAATTCAGTTTGTCGCTGGAGCAAAAAAGACTAGAGAAGTGTTTTTGACACGCACTTCATAACAAACTGTCAGCGGGCCGCTGGCAGTGTTTTTCATTGCGTCTGATGAGGTTAAAGACCCCAAATCCGAGACAGACGTTAACGATTAACGTGACGAGAAATGTTTATGGCAAAGCAGCTTCTCTCCTGTATGCTGCTCCTCTACTTTATCCAGACGATAAATAAAATGACGTGACAATCTGGTTACAATAATCAGGGATTCGTCCGTTGAGACAATAAATGAATAAACACGACAGAAACTGCTTGGCAGCAAAACGAGGCCAAAGGGAACCCAGATCGTTTCCCAAATGAAATAAATGAATACCAAAAGTTTCGTGTATGTCCACTGAGGAAATAAAAGAGAAATAAAAGCCTTTAAGAGACTCCCTCCCTCCTGTGTGTTATTTACCTTTGCTGGGGATCAGTCATTTGTGAGCACGATGTGCTTGTCACCCCAAGGAGCAGCTAAAGTATTTCGTGAAAAACAGCACAAGGACGCTACACCTGTCGAGCACACGGCTACACGCAGGTCTCATTCACCCGAAATACTGTTTCTCAGTGAAGTCCTCCCTGCACTGTGTCGCCAAATAAGATGATTACCAGCAAAGAAAAGCTTCTGTGTAGAATTACATTCTTCTACCTCGCGGTGGGTAAGCTCTGAAAATGAACGCTGCCATTGGTCGCCTGTCGGTGACGTATGAGGAAGCGCTCGTCCGCGTCCTGAGAAATAATAATTGTTTCAGATGATCAAGATTTGTTTGTCACAAGTGACACTGGTTTTTCGGAGACGCCGGTGAGACAGCTACAGGGTAACGGTAAACGATGGCGACGACTTGTTGTCTGCAAATAATCGCCACTAGGTGTCACCCTTACAACGGCTCCAAAAGGCTTCAAGCCAGCTCCAGCAATCATAAGCACTTTACGTTAATGCAAGCCACCACCAGAGCTACTGACTCCACTTTCAAACAGAACTCGGAAATTAAAGTGCATTCCGAGTCACCTGTTGCCCTGGATCCCCATTTCGTCTCTTGCAGTTAAAGGCGACCTGGCTATAACTACCCTCTCTACAGCTGGGTTCTTAGCCTGCTCCAGATAAGCAAATGTAATATATACAACAAGTGTGACTGAATGTAAAGCTTAAAAAATTTAAATTTTACAATATACCAAAAGTGGTAACAAAGCACTTTTGAAGGGGACTAAACTTCTAGAGTTTTGATGTTCTTGAACCTCTAAACTCACACAGTTCAATTCATTTGTAGGTCATTTTCACCTCTTGTAAACAGTCATTTGGTATTGTGGTGGAAATCCAAAGTCAAACTGTGAGAGTAATAGGTGTTTTCTCTTTCATTTAGTAACTTCTGCAAAGACAGCAACACTATTTACGAGTGTAATGTAAATGTCTCACTTCTGAGGAGGAAGTGATTTTTTTGTCTTGTGCAAAAAGAATGTCTACAGTGTGAAAAGAGTACGAGCAAATTTCATGTAACTGTGATAAAGCTACACTTTTTATATGTACGATCTCTGTTTGTACTTTGTCTATTTAGAGTATACTGTGCACTAAGAAAGAGTGAAAGAAACAGCTGCACAGAGTAAGACTGGTTAATGTGCATCAGCTTATATTTTTATACTGCAATATACAAAAACATAGAAAACAAAAACAAGAACATTTGATCAGAACAGATTATGCAAGCAATTAAGCAATTAATTAAGCAATGAAATGTTAATTATTGATGCAACAAAATTAACCTCTTAAGCACACACGCCTAACCCTAAATGCGATCTCCTCCCTTTTGCCCCTGTATCTGGGGGCGCTGGTGCTTAACAGGTTAAGCTCTAAACTAACAAGAGATGAATTCTTATAATTGTATATACAGCAAGTGTTTCACAGCAAAGTAGGTTATTTCATTTGAGGTCCTAAAGAATAACAGAAAGGAAAATACTGTAAATGGTTACATTTTTTCAAAGCAGGAATGCATGATTGACTTCTTTTTTTTAATTCAGAGAATCTAAAACTATGGAAGTTATTGAATTTGGGTATAAATAAATTTCCATGTTTTGTCCATTTTTATTAGTTGATAACACTAACATAAATATCTAAACCACCTTGTGGTGGATAGGCATAGCTTTGGGTCACGTGGTGTTGGTAGTAGTAGTGATTGTTATATCACCTGTTCACTTCCCGAGCGAATTTTTCTGAATGAGTGAGTGATGGGGGAAGTTGACTTCAAGCCTGGAATGGTTTGATCACTGTTGTTTTTGGATGGACTTGAAAGGTTTTTGATAACAAATAAAGGAGTCTTTTTTTCTCTCTTTTTTTTCTCTTTTTGTTTTTTTGCCTGTCCCGTTTGGCTCTTCTGCCATCAGAATTATTGTCTAAATGCGAAGAAAGATGCCCAACGGATTTACTTTACCAAATGGACCATCCCAGCCTTGGTCTATTTTTTATTGGTCTATTTGATTCACCTTTTATTGTTTATTTTATTTTTTTATTTTCACTTGCTAAATACGGGACAGACTTGACTGAGGAAAAGAAAGGGGAGAAAGAAAAACAGCAGAGAAGAGGGACGGGGATAAAGGGCAAAAAAACCCAAAACCCAACAAAATAAGCAGACAAAAAATCCATATATCAATCACCTGGATCACCTGTTGAGAAAGAAAAAAGAAAACAAGCAGAAGAAAAAGAGAGCAACATAATAAACAACATTACGATGATATATGGGAATATAACAATAAATACTAAATATTAAACATCGCCTCTGTCAGTGCGCCCCAGGGTGGCTGTGGCTACAACGTGGCTTGCCATCACCAGTGTGTGAATGTGTGTGTGAATGGGTGGATGACTGGATGTGTAAAGCACTTTGAGGTCCTTAGGGACTAGTAAAGCGCTATACAAGAGGTCGAGAGGCCGAGTGCACCCCACCCCCAAAGTGGCCCAAGCGAGCCCCAGGCTCCAGGCCCCGATAAGCAGCCACCAAGGAGTGAGCCGGTGTGTGCCTGGACGCCCACCCCCGGACACAAAGAACCACCAATGCACCGATGTCTGAGGGCGTCTGCCACTGATAGGGGAAGTGGTGGGGGGAGAAAGGCCTCCATATCTTGGAGAGCCTGAGATGTCCCCAGAGAGGTGGCGTCTGATACCCGACCTGACATATAGACACAGACATACAGGCACGCACAGATACAAACATCCATTCCCACCCTCATGCTCTCATAGGCAATTACTCAACACTCACCCAACGTGGAGACAGACATAAAGAGACGCTGTACACACAATCACACTCCCCAAGCGTACTCTAAGCCCTGGGTCTAGGTACCCTTGCCCCTGGAGGGAGAAACTGCACCCAGACCCAGGTGGTGTTACCCTTTTCCCTGGGGTGGGGAGAAGCAGACCGCCCCGACGGGGGCTGTGTGAAGACTCCAAACCTCCCTCCGCCCGCTCATATGTAGTGTTGATGCACGTGTGTTCTAAGGTGCATTTAAAACCCAGGAGGGCATGGAGCTACCTGCCAGAGAGCAGCAGGTAAGCGCATAGCCCCTCCTGATAGCCCTCAATGTCTACGTGTATTTAAAATTAAGAGGTGGGCAACAACGCCAGGGGTGAGGTGTACACCCTGATGGTCTTTTGGATTCCGTGTAGCGTGCCCACCCCCAAGATCCTATATGTATGTGTTATGAGAGTCTTAAATGGAAAGTTTGAGTCACGTTTGAACAGCAGGTGTGTCAACATTATTCCCCTATTCAGCTGCTCAGCGACTCAGTTTGACAGTTGCCAATACACCTTACCCACAGTTGTCCATGATCTTACCTGTGTTTGTTGACATAATTCAGCATCATCATCATCTGCTCTCTTCAGGTCCTCTTCAGGATTTCATACAAATGTATCTGCTTCATGACTAGAACAAATTCAAAAGCTTCAGGACAGGTGTACTGGGACTCTATTTGGGAAAATTCACCAAGAACTGTGCCGGTCAGATCAATTACTTCAGAGGAAATCACTGCAAAGCTGAAGCTGATTCGAAGCATTCTCATTATCTCATTGAGCCAGTGTCCTGTCAGGGAGGTCCCTGCTCCCGAGTGGCCGGGAGTGAATAACTGTTAGCTCCAGTTATTCACTTCCTTGGGAGATTTAGCTCTAGATCTGGTCCAATGGGCAGTTGAAAAGGAGTGCTTGGCAATCTGATGCATGGTTGAATCTCTTCATTATTATTCCTCAGACAACCTTTCACCCTCAGTTTAGATCACACCCCACTGCAGTGGCTCCATCACATGAAACATGCCAACACTCAGATCACCTGGTGGCATCTGGCTCTCCAGCCTTTTAAGTTCAAGGTGGCGCTTAAAAGGCCAGATGGCTCCCCATTCTAAGTTGGGCAATGAGGATATGTGGCGGGGTGTGACTTGTTGCTCAGCTGCAGAGAAGGGGTGGAGCAGTAGGTTGAGTGTGTGGTGTCAGGGGAGGCTGGTTGTCACATATGCCTTCTAATCATGCCTTTCCTATATGAGTAGGCCACCAGGACCTGACAGGAGAGCTGTGTGGTGGGAGCTTAGCTCTAATAGTGTCACAGTCCTGACACTATAGTGTTTTGAGTTTTGCATTATTATTAAGCTTTGATTTTCATCACGGTTTATCATTACTAGACTTTTGGGTCAGGGCCCCACAAACACTAAGGAAAGAGCAATGTGTTTTGGTGGAACCACTTGAGGGGCTTAGTACAGTTGCTGTTGCTCCATCTCTAGGAATTGTCTGTAGAGACAGAGTCCCCATCAAAGTAAGGAATCTCAACCATTTTTTAATATTATTCTACGAGGTTATGAGGCCTTTGCTATATTCTCTACTGAAAACGTTGACATTCAGGAACCTTTTGAAATTACTTTTGAGCAAAACAGGCCAGGGGTTGCTGAAGTCGGTGTCCACCAACTACTAACTGGGCTAGTAATGCAGCTGATATTGAAGTTATGACACAAGGGAATTCAAACCTATCTACAGAGGAGCAAGACAAGCTAAGATGCCTGCTGAGGAAATGGGGCATTGTGTTTGCTGCCCACAAAGACGATTATGGCCACACAGATGTAATCACCCACTCTATCCCACAGGTATGGCACCTTCTATTAGAGAATGCTACAGGCCAATTCCCCCTAATATGTATCAGGAAGTGCGAGAGCTGCTGAATAATAGGATTCAATCACGGGTGGTTAGGGAGAGTCCAAGTGCTTGTCACCAACCATTGGCCTGGTTTGAACTGAGGAACTAAGATTTTGTGTGGATTACTGCAAGTTAAAAGCAGTGACAGATAAAGATTCCCACCCACTTGCTAGAATCGAAGAGATCTTGACGGTGCTGACTAAATCAAAATACTATTCTATCTTTGATTTAGCTAGTGGATTTAATATCATGCAATCCCGACACCAGTCAAAATCAAGTAGAATATGCACTGAGCATAGAACAAGACATCTTAGCATCATGCTCATCACTGTCGTCTCTGTTCAGCTCAAGCAGCTGCACTGGTAGCATTGACACAAGCATGTGAAATTGCTAAGGTCCAAATAATCACTTTATCTGATTCCAGATATGCATATGTGGTGATAAATTATTTTGTCACATTACGGAAACAATCGTTTTTAACTAATTCAGAGAAATCCACTGCACATCATGAACTTGTAGCTCCATCGTTGGAGGCCTTGTTACTCCCAAAGACTTTTCTGTAAATGTGAAGCTCAGAAGACTCTGTTTCTACAGACAACTATACACTGGATGCATCAGCCAACACAGCAGCTAATCAGAATGTGAAACCAGACCACAGCATGACATCGAAACCACACGCTGTCCAAACACTGACTTACAGACTACCCATAGCAAGGTTACCCAGAGAGAAATGTGTGGAAAACAGCAGGAGTGTACATAACAAGGTCATCCACTAATCAGAAGGTCGGTGGTTCGATCCCAGGCTGCCTCCTGGCTGCATGACAAATATCCTAACCCCATGTTTGCCTACTGGTGGTGGTCAGAGGGCCCGGTGGCTACAATGTAGCTTGCCATCGCCTGTGTGTGAATGTGTGTGTGAATGGGTGAATGACTTGATGTAGTGTGAAGCGCTTTGGGGTCCTTAGGGACCAGAAAAGCGCTATACAAATGCAGGCCATTTACCATAACAGGTGAAGTCCTGTATGGCCCTAGTGACAAACCATATCTGCCCCACATTCTTTCCCCCTCATTATGCTAAATTGACACATAGGAAGTGTCATGGTCCTGGGTCTTTGACCTCAGGTTTTTGTTTGGACTTTTTCATTCTGTTTTACTTAATTATGTTTCTAGTTTTTGGTTCTTGCTTGTTTTCATGGCTGTTTTCTTTTTCATGTCCCGTCTGACTACGTCTCGTTTGTGTTCAGTCTTCAGCATCTCCTGATGTCTCTGTGTCTTTTTGTCTCCATGTCTATTCATTCCAATGTCACAGTGTAAAGTTTACGTGTCTCAGTCTGGGTGTCAGTGTGTGTTACTTCCTGTCTTATTTCAATAGGCTCTTGTCCTGAATGCGTTTAATTTTGCTTCCCTTTTTTATGTGATCTGAACTGCTACCATGTGGTAATTAAAAAGTATCGTTTGGTGCTTGCTGGGATGTTTTCCCTTCTAGCAAACAAGATTCAGGTGCAGTAGCCAAAGCGTTTCTGGGAGAAATAAACCCAAGGAAACTGATTCGTAATCCCCAGAGAACCAGCTCCTGCTGGTTAAGGTCAAAGGTTGCACCACTTAGATTCATGCCAGCCATTGCAAGATTTCCATGTTGAGATTTCCCTGTTAACTGATGAAGACAACAAGGGTGTATGATGTACTCTGACCTTTCAACCTACACCTGCACTGGAATTAAAAAAGGCACAGACCTCGAACAAAGTGGCCTGCAGAGTTACACTGTGTCGCCCACAAGGGAGCAGCAATGGAACACAGACAAAACCTGTAAACAGCCTGGCTGGTGTGACCCAAAAGGTTCATTATAATATTTTATTTTAAGTTATTGTAGGTACCGATGAGGCTTTTCTAATCATGTTTGTATATGTTAAGCCTTTCACCCTCCAAACATCACATTTTCTTTTAGCTTTAACCCTTACTATAGTATATTGTGAGCTTAAAAACAAAAAAAAAGTGTGGTTTTGGCAATATATTAATTTGTAACAGTACTGTAGCACCACATGAATTTTACAAAAACACTGAATGGATAATAATAATCAGGTTTCATTCTGGGGACATTCGCACCCTTCAAAAACGGCCTTCTTTTTAAAGAAAATGTTTAACACTTCGACCAGTCGGAAGAAGCTTGTCTGTAAATGAGGTGTGGCTTTCAGCTGTGGCATGTACTGACAGCCTAGAGCGCACTCTATGCAAAGCTGGTTGTCGTAGTCCAACGTGAGAGTTCTCCGCCGTAAAGAACGTCTTTATCGCAGGGAAGCCGCAACAGTAAGAAACATTTCTTTTTCCTGTACTACTGTCAAATATCTTCTGAAAAGGTGGAGGCTGCTGGTTATATTCAGAGTGCAGGGATTTCCTTTCATTTCCCTTTGTAATGGGGCTACAATGTGTGCGAATATGTTATGCTAAATAGTTTTAATTGTCTAAGAATATATGAAACGGAGCATTCTCATTTTGCCAAAAACACTAACTAATATTTTTGAATGATCGTTTAGCCCCTAAGTTTATTTATCAACAAAAAAACAAAAAACAAAAACGCGTTGTGGTGTACCAAGGATCTAGTTAACTTTGTGAGCTGATTTGACTAAGGCTCTTGCTAGCGCTGGGTTTTGCCTTCAGAGCTTCGTGGATTCAACGAGGTGCAAGAAACATTCCTCAAACGACCATGATTTGAACCTCCTGTTCCACTGCATCCCAAAGATTTTCTGTAAAATCTGTTGCGTCAAATGACTCCGTGATCAGTGATCAATAAGAACAGAAACACTTTGCAAGCTGTTTTTAAAGCTTCCTTGCCTGGTTATCAGTACTGCAAATAAGCTACCAAGAGGTAAATAAATATAAAATAATTAGACAGCGTCCCATTTCGGTAAGATGTTTTAATATAAAATATTAATTTAATACAAGATATTACGTTTTCAGCTGGATCAATTAAAAGAAAGAACATCTAGAATAAATATATAATATATATATAAGAACTATTGCGCGTTACATCCTGTACCTGCTGATTTGTAAACTAAAGTCTGAAACTAAAACTAAAGCCTGAAAGAAAGAGTACAGTAGCACTCCAAAATGCAAAGTTATATTTTTAAACACTGCTGTGCAGAAGTCTTCAACAAGCACTCAGTTCATTTGTAATATCATTGCTACATGTATATCCCCCAGTTCATCCAATACTGAGATGAGAGTGGGCATGTTTGAGTGTGAGACCCCGGTCTGAAACTTGATTAATAGGTGATCACTAGGGGTGGGTTTTTATAATCGATTTATCGATTAAAATCGATTCTGGCTTGGATAACGTAAAATCGATTCATTAAAATCCTGAATCGATTTTTTAATATAAATTTATTTT